AAGGTGACCTTGAACACTCTCTCTCTCTCTCTCTCTCTCTCTCTCTCTCTCTCTCTCTCTCTCTCTGTGTGTGTGTGTGTGTGTGTGTGTGTTTGTTTTTTCGAGACAGAGTTTCTCTGTGTAGCTTTGGAGCCTGTCCTGGGACTCACTCTGTAGACCAGGCTGGCCTCGAACTCACAGAGATCTGTCTGCCTCTGCCTCCTGAATCTGGGATTAAAGGCACGCGCCACCACCGCTCAGCTCCTCTGTCTCTTAAGAGCTGAGGTTATAGGCCTCTGTGTCCCACACCCTGTGCGGTCCAAGTGTGAGCAAGGAATTCAGATGTTCTAGGATAGTGAGAAAGTTATTGTGTCCCACCCCCCCACACACACACACAAAGTGTGACTTTGTGGAAGCTGCGGCATACTTGAAAGATTCAGGGCCTCGGTGTACTCCTTACTAAAATGTGGACAGCAGCACTGCGTGGTTCAAAGAACTGCCAGCTTGCATGAAGCTCCTAGCTCCTGCTTGACGCTTCCCATTCCCATCCTGGCACAATTGAAATTGCAGGTCCACGCCGGGCTGCCAGGAAGCAGTTCACTCCTCCGAGCCTTGAGGTCGCTTAGGGACCATGGATGGAGCCAAGCGCTTCGGGAAGCAGAGTATTTGAGAAGTATTTCTGAAGAACTTCTTTCCCGTCGCCACACTGGCCCTGAACTCCACAATTTAATTGCACATTTTCCCTCTCTCTCCTTCCGGGGTTACATTCTTTTGCATCTCAGGGCTGAGTGCACAGTGACCCAGGAAAGGGTTGTATACGCAGTGACTCTGGAAAACTGTATAGTCAGCGTTTATAATGAAGAGATTTGCTTTCCCGTACCTTCCCCGAGTTCTCTAATTACAAATGGAGTCCAATCCAGTGTAAATATCGGTCTGCTTTTTTGATTTTGTTTTAAGATAGTGTCTCATGCAACCTAAGCTGGTCTCAAAGTCATTATGTAGTAAAAGATGACCTTGAACTTGTGATTCTCCTGCTTCTGCCTGCCAAGGGCTGTGATTACAGGCGTGTCCCGTACGCTGGGCCTGGAAGTGAGAACCACAGGGACAGGCTTTTATTAAGACCCGAAGCTCACCGCTATCTTTATTATAGCAGCTGGCAAAAAGCCCTGTGTTGAGAGGGGAGTCGCGCGTGCTGGTTGCTAGGGCAACGCACCGGCGCTGGTGTCAGAGATCAGCAGGAACACCACGAGGAGGGTCCATCCCACTCCGGGGGCGGAGTTAATCGAGGCCCTAGACCCGTAGGCCTGCCCGTCGTTCCCTCCAGATGGCGCTGTAGGACCACGGATGCTGTGCGGGGGCGGAGCTTCCTGCTGAGCTTTGCTCCAGTGAGGGGCGGAAGCTGGGGCGGGGCGTGGGAGCCAGCAGCTCAAAGTCTGGACGGATCCAAGAAGATAATTCCCCACGTTACCGGAGAAAAGTTCGCGACGTGGAAAGCGTACGGATCAGAGAAAGACTGGGACAAAGTGCAGAGTCTGGGGCCTAGGATAGGGAAGAGGGGTCAGGATGCTCAGAAAGTTGATTCATCTTCCTCCTTGAGGTTTGTCCCCGTGAATCTCCTCCATCGCCTGCCTCTCTGGATCCCCGATCCTTCACAACCTCAGAGGTGCGGATGCTCTGGACATACGCGCAGTGGGCACAAGCCGGGGGCCTCCTCGCCCCCAGGATCCAGATAGAACCAGCAAGTTTATAGGGCTCTAGTGCCCAGGAGATACGCCAAGACAGAATTCCGCAGTCCCAGGAACGCCAAGAATAATAGCCAAACTGTTCCTCAGTTTGTCAGAGTAAGCCTGACTCCTCTTCCTTTCTGGAAGCTAGGAACGGAAAAAATGACTCAAGGAATCCCTTGGCGGAGCCTTCCTGTGTGTACTGCGCACACAAAACGGGGGTACCATCTTCGCCCCCTCCCCCCTTTCCTGGAAGACTATTATTCCCGTCACTATTATACCTCGCCACGCCTTCGTGTCTAGCCGCTCACGCACACATGGATCCCCAGGCTATCTGTGTTGTATCCCCCACACACACACAAACCCCCCACTCCGTGCTAAATATTTCCCTTTCTCTTGATCCCGACGACCCCATTCACCCCACCCACTCAATAGCGCTGAAAATCCGAAAAGATGCACCGCGGAAGCCCTCCTCCGAACACACACACACACACACACACACACACACACACACACACACACACAGCCAAGAAAGGAGATCTTTGGCAAGAAATGAAAGTTTATTAAGGCCTGGGGCTGAGAATGGCCGAGGTCCGAGGGGAAGAAGCTTTGCTGGTTCCCATGGCCCCAAGGGCAGGCCAGGGTGCTGAGCAGGGTTAACGGAGCTGGGACCAAACTTCTGCTTCTCGGAATTCCTGGCAGGAGACCTCCTGGATCAGTTCCGGGAGAGGCCTGAGAAGGCAGAGGAATCTATCTCTCCTGCCCCTTGAGGCTCGGGGCTTTTGCAGGGACTGGGGAAAAATGCTCTCTGGAGAGGGAGCCTCGACTCCAAGGTCTTCATTTCAGTAACGACCACTTAATTTGTTCCTTGGCTGACTGAAGAACCTGGGGTGAGGGGAGGATGTCGGGAGAAATAGTTGAGAATGTCAATCAACGATGCCTTTACTGGAGGACTGTGGGGCCCGAGGGAGCCTCTCCAGCCCTGGTCACTAGGTGGCGGCAGCTTGCCTCTCCTTAGTTTAGATGAGACCAGGCAGGCCCAGCGAGCCGCAGCCAAAGCCCAGCTGGCTGCTGCCCAAGCCTGTCCAAGTGTGGGTGTGGCCGTGGCCCCTGCCTTCCCCGATCCATGCCAGGCTACAGAAGTTCCTCCTCACAGTGCCATCCCTAGGCAGGGGCTGGGCTCAGACACTCGGCACCTTCACAACCCCCCGATTATTATTGCGGTGTGTTCCCTCCACCCCAGCCCGTCCGCTGATGTGGCAACGGCTGTCGATGTGTGGGCTCCTACTGCCAAGAAGGAACGCCTCAGTCCAGTGTATGCCCACATCAGTACCAAAACTCTCTCTAGGCATGAAGCCTCCTTCTTTCCCCACAAATGTCGGTCCCACACTGCGCATGTCCCTTTCTCCTGCAGTCTCCCTCCTTCCTGGTGACAGTGAATTCCTCCATCCCTCCTACGGAAACCTCTCTCCACATTTCATTTCATGTTCACTACTACAAGCTTTGTTTTTATTCAAGACTTCCACGAACACACAGGTGTGGTTCCTGTAATCTCAGCTCCTGGGAGGCTGAGGCAGGAGGGTGATGAGTTCAAGGCCAGCCTGGGCTACATAGCAAGCTCCTAACCAGTCTTCACTCCTTGTTCATTTAGAGAAATAGAAACAGTTGTTTCCTGAGAATGTATGACTTAACATTCTAGGCTCTTTCCATCCACGAACTGGTTCATCTAATTCTTTAAAATATTTTCTTTACAATCAGTGTGTGTGTGTGTGTGTGTGTGTTACAGCACACACATGGGGGAAGAGGACAACTTGTGAGCAGGGCATGGTGATCCATGCCTTTATTCAGTGGGGAGGCAGAGGAAGGCGGGGATTGAACTTACGTCCTCAGGCTTGGCAACATGGCCCTTACTCACTGAGCTATTTTGCTGAGATCTAATTTGTATAACTCAACACAGCAGGTCCTATTCTGAGAGCCCCAGAGATGCTGAGTAACTCGTCATTCAACTTTTGCTGGTAAAGTAAAAGCTTTGGATGACTCACAGGAATGCAAGTTTTTTGTTATTGTTGTTGGTTAGTTTTTGTTTTTGAAACAGGGTTTTGTTCTTGGATCCAAATCTGAAGCGCTGGAATTACAAGCATGCACCACCACACATGTACCATGAAGTGCTAGGAATCTCCCAGGGCTGTGTGCTTGTTGAGCAAGCACTCTACGCCACCAGTCTCAACTTACATAAGCTCGTCTTCATTACTTTAATTTTTAAAAATTGTATGTGTGCCGCCAGGCGGTGGTGGTGCACACCTTTAATCCCAGCACTTGGGAGGCAGAAGCAGGTGGATCTCTGAGTGTTCGAGGCCAGCCTGGTCTACAGAGTGAGATCCAGGACAGCCAGGGCTACACAGAGAAACCCTGTCTTGAAAAACCCAAAAAATTTGTATGTGGCTTTTTTGCCTATATGTGTGTCTGTGTACCACATGTGTGCCTGGTGCCTGCAGAGTCCAAAAGAAGGCATCAGATTCCCTAGAGTTACAAATGGTTGAGCCACCATGGGTATGCCTGAAACAGGTCCCCTGTAAGAGCATCGAGTGCTCTTAACCACTGAGCCATCTCTTTAGCCCTCCCCAAGGAGTGTTCTTGTTGGCTCTGCTCACAACACTCCTCTTTTAGAGGGTTTAATGTTTCTTTCATTTGTTACTTTAATGTGTTTATGTAAAGGTCAGCAAACACCTTGTGGGGAGTCAGTTCTCTCTCACAGTGATCCAACTCAGCTCATCAGGCTCGGAGGCAAGTGCCTTTACTTGCTGAGACATCTCAATGGACTACATGTTGTATGTTTCTTATTTTTGTATTTTTAAACCAGAGTCTCATGGAGATGTCTTAAAAATCTGGCCTCAAACTTGATGTGGCTTTGAACTCCTGATCCTCCTGCCTCCACCTTCCAAGTGCTGGGATTATGGGTGTGTATGTGCCACCATGCCCAGCTTGGTTTATTTTGTTTTTAGATAAAGTCTCATGCTACAGCCTGGGCTAGCCTGGAACTCACTGTGTAGCTCAGGCTTGTCTTGAACTTGAGATCCTCAAGCCCAGCTTGGGTTTATTTTATTTTTAGATAAAACTCCATGCTACAGCCTGGGCTAGCCTGGAACACACTGTATAGCTCAGGCTGATATTGACTTTGAGATCTTCAGACCTCAGCCTTTTCGAGTATTGAGGTTATAGGTGTGAACCGCTGTGCCTGGCTCTTCCAACCTCCTTCCACCCTGAAAGCCACCATGCAGCCACATCCTTTTCCCGCAGAACATGAGGAAACTCGGGGAACCAGGGGGTGACAGGGTGACAGAGTAGTGCAGGACAGTGGGCAGCACTCCTGGTGCTCTTCACTGATGGCACAAGCCTGTCTCTCACAGGGCTACCACATTAGGACTAGGTTAATCCAGGGAGGGAAGCTCCTTGGACCCAGTAAGTCTGAGCAGACAGACCTGCGGATGGACAGAAGTGAAGTCAAACCATTTGGCTTGACTAGCAGGAAGCCTGTGAGACTGGAGACCCAGTTTGTGGTCAGTAACCACGGCACACACACACACACACACACACACACACACACACACACACACACACACAACGCCGCCATATTCTGCATGCATCCCAGTTAGGGTTGTGCAAGGTATGTGGTAGGCTCCTTTTCAACAGCCAAGCTACTAAGGGCAGAAGTGAAGAAACTTAGACCCTACCCCTGGGTGATGAGGCCCTTACCAATCCCAGCATGGCCCCTGAGTGGTGAGGCTAAGTGCTGGAGACCAACTCCCACATGGTATCCTGTCCAGGTTGGAGGAAATACGAGGGGTCTGGGACTCCACGTTGCATTGGGTAACAAGTAACCCAGGCATCATCAGGGTAGCTGATGGGGAGGAGATGGGGTGGGCAGGCAGTAATTTGCACACTCATCCCTCAGCACCCAGTTTCCAAGAGCTCAGTATCCTCAAGGGCTTCCTCTAAGAGTCACCACCTCAGCCAGCGGTGGTGGCCCAAAAAGCACTCAGGAGGCAGACAGATGGAGCTCTGTGAGTTCGAGGCCAGCCTGGTCTACAGAGCAAGTTCTAGGACAGTCAAGGCTACAGAAAGAAACCCTGTCTCAAAAAACAAAACAAAACACA